AATCCCACTCCTAGGTATCTACCCAAAAGACACAAAAACACTGATTGAAAAAGATACTTGTACCCCCATGTTTATTGCTGCTTTATTTACAATTGAATTTGGCTTATTTTAAACTTGGGTATTTGTTCAATGACTCAGCAATTAGTTTTCACATTCCAATGGCACTACTAAGCAACAGAATAACTTTTCAGCAGAGGGATTTGTCAAGGAAGTAGATTGTTTACCCTACACAGTGGCCCTGTTAGAAATATCACCTCAAAGGATTTTTGAGCACATATTCAGCATAGTAAAATGTCACATGACCCTTCAAGAAGAAACATTATTTTTAAGTAAAAATAAGTTTAGCTGTATGTATTGAGACCTGCCATAATTTATCAAATGACTATTCATGAAGCCCAATCAAAGTGAGCTAAGACATGGCCCCCTAGTTTAGGGGATTACTATTGTGTGTTCTATAGCTAGATTCCCTGGGTTCAAATCTAGTCTGTCATTGACAAATGGCAAACTTACTTGCGTACTGCCAAGTTACTTAGCATTTTCTGTGCTGCTCCACATTCTTCATCTACAAAATGTGGCTCATAACCTACATGTATGTCACAAAAATGTTGAGTGGGTTAAGTGAAATAAGTACATGTGAAAACTGAATCTGGCATATAGAAAATAATGTAGGAGTTGGATGTCTTTATTTTTGTTGCTGTTGTTACTTTACATCTAAGAAACAATTGGTTAATTGCCTACTAGATCTGGTTCTAAATACCCTGTTTCTTTTCTCTTACTTCACCATTGTTTCTGTGACGAGGTGACATAAAACTTAGTATGACAGGTGGACTGTGGGTGATTCGGTGGTAAGTAGATACCTCATGGGGAGAATCCTAATGTTACCACAATTAAAAGAATACATTACGATTTAAAAAAAAAGAAAGATAGGTCATTTGAGAAAATAGCTTGAAATGAGTTTTCTTAACCTTTGACTTTACCATAACCACAGACTCATGCAAAATTGCAACAACAACAACAACAAAAACAAAACAGGAGAAAAGCACGACATTGTCATCACTTAGTTCCCCTCAAAGATAATAGCACCCAAGCCAGGAAATTAATATTAGGATGACATAATTCACTATATAGCAGAATTTAGTTACATTTCACTGCTTTTGCATTCACTTATATATTTTTCTGCATTGTAACATTTAGTCACCTTCATAGAGTCATATAATCACTTCTGATGTCAAGATAAAGGACTCTTCCTTCACCACAAAGAGCTGTTTTGTGCTGAAGGGCCCACTTTTAATGAATGCCTGTGAAATCAATTGCTGCCTAAAGTCTTGTTTTCAGTTTTTCCTTTGGCAATAGAGCAAGATGGGAAGACACGTCACTCAGCGTACTCAGGCCAGGCAGCCAATGTTCGGTGGATGCCAGAAGGTGAATACATGCTCAGCTTCAGTGGAACTGACCTCTCTGTGTTCTGTGTTCTCCTCACAGTCTCTGGGAATGTGTATGAATATAACAGTAGAACAGGAGCAAGAAAGTGGAAGAAGATCCCAGGGAACCAGGAGGAGTCCTTGACACATATATACTCCCTTCCAGAGACCTGCGCTTCTGAGGCATCTGCAGCCTCAAATATCCCTATGCAAGGCTAGCATTTTGCCATGTCTCTGAATGATTTTTTTTTTTTTTTTGCACATGTCATTGTATGGGAAGTTTTATTTGGATATCTAACACTCAACTGTGGTTGGGAGACCAGGTGTTTTGCTTTTGTCTATAACTCTTTGTGATGTTTCAGTCCAGGGTGTCTGGATGAGGACAGCAGGAGTGATCAAACTTGAGTCACTGAACATGTTTGGTTGAAAACTAGAGGCTAAATTTCTATGTGTATATTGCCTGATTCTGTCCCGGGGAACACATGCTTGTTAGGACTGGAGGTTTTGTCTTGTTCACTGATCTCCTGGAACACATGCTTGGCATATCGTGGGGACTGCATATATATGTGACTGCACACACACACACACACACACATATATATATATATATATATATATATACATATTTATGTGTGTGTTTGTTGAATAAATGGTTTCAGAGTATGAGTTTAAATCTTTTGCTTTTAATTTATATTTCTCATTATGCCTGTGACCCATGGAACAAAAATGGGAATTACCTTTAGAACTTTCTTGTTTTCTGTTTGTCACAGAAACTGGCAGTTTTTAGCATTTAAAAAAAACCACAAGTGGTCTTGCTTTTGACTCTTTTTATAGTCCTGTGGAAAATGAGCATGTGAAACTATTAATTAATTACTGGCAAAGGAATGCCAGAATCAAGTGTTTTGAGAGATAGATACTCACATACCGAAGTGTAAAATACACATTAGTTCCCTTGGCTGTCCAAAGACACGATAGCAGGAGATCAGAAAGATTATTGATGGTAGAGGTTAAATACATATTTAACCCAAAAGAGAGTTGAACCTGAAATAACTTTTAAAAACAAATCTCATCCAAAAGAAAATATACCATGAGCAATGAACTGATACTTGGGTCAGAGAATAGAGGATGATTAGTAATGCTTTGATATTTACCCACCTTTGCATATGTCCACACAAATGATTGATTTTAGTCCAGGGATACTTCATGTCCAGATAAGGAGCCCCTGAAAATAAACAGATACATTTAAAGTTGATGTTTAGCTGGGATGAGTCTATCCTCAGGAGGCATAGAAGTGTGTAGGACATCCATAGGTTTTGAAGTGGGAGCCATAGACAAGTGACATGTCCTCTTTGAAGTTCAATTTTCTTCTAGAAAATGTGTATGATATTTTTTGCCCCATTTCTATCTCCTAGATTTGTTTAGATGCATCCTAAAACAACTGAAATTCTACACCTGGCAGTGCTTGTGCTTTTTAAACTGTAAATGCTTAAATGTAAAATAGGATTAGTTTCATTAAGCCAAAATTGGTTACTGCGAGAGCAGCAACTTGGAATATGAGACAGTTGCTCCATGGTTCTAAGCCAATCTTTGCTAGAATTGGTCGGTAATTAGCTTTTCAACTTCTGTGAAAGGAATTTACTGCCTTGTTCCAGATGGCATGATAATTCTTCACCAGGGGAGAGACCAAAGATTGTTCAGGAAAATGCACTCCCCTCTCCAGCACGGCTCTCCCTGGATCAATTACGATGAAATGGATGTACATATGTGAATCTCTCCATCTGGTACCACCTGAATTTTTAGGGGGTAGGGAGGAAGCATTTGTAAACTTCCTTCACAAAGTCTTCATTGGACATATTAGTATTTTATCTGCCTGTGCCCAAACCAAGAAATACTCATATGCTGGTGTTTGCTTTCCTTGGTTTAGTTGTTTTATGCCTCAGTTCTGGGCCTGGCCGGCAGAGAATGTATACGGTACACACAACAGAGGGGATTGTTAGGGAGGAAACCAACAGTGTTGCTCCCAAGAGCAAGGCTTCAGAATTTCACCTTATGAAGCATTATCAATCGCCTCCAACTCTAGATGCTCTTTTATATTTCACCAACATGTGTCGACTTAATAATAGTGGTTGTTTAGTTCCCCGAGGCTGCCATGACAAGTTAGTGCAAACTAGGTGCTTACACAACAGCACTTTTTTTCATTCACAGCTCAGGAAGCAGAATTCTAAATCTAATTGTCAGGCTGCCACCGTCCCTCTGGGGTGGCAGAGAAACGGCTCCTTGTCTCTTCCTGCTGTGGCGCTGCCCTGGCCCTGTGCTCTGGCTGTGGCTGAATCCTCTGATCTCTGACTTCTCCTTCACATGGCTTCTTACTGTGTGCATCTGTCAAATTTCCCTCTGCCTCACTTTTTAAAATATATAACCCATATATATATGTGGTTAATATTATATATATGGTTTAATATATAGTTTGTATTTTGATCACATTGCTGTTAATTTTTGTCCAGTGCATGCTTTCTCCTCTCAGGTTTAACCCCATGGATTTCCCCCCACCAGTTCACCTGTGCACCATCACCAGAGTGCCCTGTGTCCTACTCTCTGTTTTTGATGCCTCTTTCTCCCCGTCCCCTGCAGTATATCTCTGATTTATAGTTAATTTTGTTTTTCTAATTATTTTTCACCCAATTCCCTTATTTGTTTCCCCTATATGTGAAATCATCTGATCTTTTTCTTTTTCCTTCTGACTCATTTCACTAAGCATAATCCCTTCTAGTTCTAATCCATGCCACTGCAAATGGCATTAGTCTATCTTTTTTAATCACTGAATAACATTCCATTGTGTATATATACCACATCTTCTTGATCCAGTCATTTATTTTTTGGGCATTTGGGTTGTTTCCATATCTCACCTATTGTGAATAGTGCTGCAATAAACATAGGGGTGCAGGTGTCCTTTTGAATCAATGTATTTTTGTCCGGTGGGTAGACGCCTGGGAGTGGAAAAGCTGGGTCATATGGTAGCTCCAATTTTAGTAGTTTGAGGAACTTCCACACAGCTATTAAAAAAAATAAAACTAGCAACAACAAATGTTGGCGAGGATGTGGAGGAAAAGGAACTCTCTTGCATGCTGATGGGAATGCAAACTGGTGCAACCACTCTGCCTCACTTTTTTTAAAAGATTTATTTATTCCTACAGAACCGGGATACAGGCCAGAGATGTGGAGGGTGAGAGAATTCACCAGAGACAGAGTGGGGAGCAGAACAGGCAGATCAATGAAGTACACTGCTGAGGGGAGCAGCAGGCGGATCAGGAGAGGTCTGCCGCGCCATGTGGATCTCCTCCAGGGCAGGCAGGGATGGAACTCATGCGGAAGTGGTTTAAGCTTCTTTGTGCTGTGCTTTAACCCGCTGCGCCACCAGGGAGGGCCTCTGCCTCACTCTTTTAAGGATATTTCTTAAATCTGATGTAGGATCCACCTGCTTAACCCAGGATGGTGGCCTCACTTTAAGATTCTTAATCACATCACATCTGCAAAGCTTCTTTCTTCAAATAAGACAGATTTTGAGGATTAGGATACAGACATATTCTTTGGAAGGGGGATCATTATTCTACAAACTACAATGTTTAAAGTCCTTTTTTGGATAAAATCAGTGAAATATTTCTAGTGAATAAAACAATCATTTTAGTTTCTTGAAAATGTATTTGAGTGCCTATATGTGCCTGTAGTGTTTTAAGTACTTTAATAAATAAAAGTGCAAATGCCTTTGACCAGGACATTTCACTGCTTGGAATTTCACAGTAGATAGAGCTTACCAAAGAGCTAAAAGATTGTTTTAGTGGTTGCTCATGGTGGCATCGCTTATAGGAGAAAACAAATGGAATATTATCAGTGTCTCTAAGGGGTTAGTTAGAAAAAAAAAATCACAAAGTCCACATCACAAAATGTATGTGTGGCTAATAACAAGAATTAGGCCTGTCCTGATACCGGTGATACATTGAGTAATAAAGTCTGATAAACTGAAACTTGGTAAATTAATATAATTAAAAATAGGCAGCAACATATAAATAAATGTTGGAATATGCATAAACTTTAGGGGGCAGCGAAAAATCACAGGTAATGATTATTAGTGATTATATTTACAAAGAAAATCCAAGGGAGAGCCCTACCTGTGGCACAGTGGATTAGAACATAGTACTGCAAGCCAGCCCCAGTGACTTCAGTGCGAGTTCTATCCCCAGGCCCGGAGGTGACCCATGTGGCGAAGCAGACCTCTGCTGTCTCGCCCCCTGCTCCCCTCAGCAGTGTACTTCATCCATCTGCCTGTTCTGCTCCCCACTCTGTCTCTGGTGAAGCCTCTCACTCTCTCACTGCCCCTGTACCTCTGGCTTATACCCTGTATAGTTCTGTATGCATAAATAAATAAATAAATCTTTAAAAAAAAAAAAAGAAAGAAAGAAAAAGAAAATCCAAGGAGGGAAACTCAGGATGAGTGGAGATTTTTACTTTTCCTTTCATTGTCTAATGAATGATTATATTTTTAAATTTGTATATATTTATTTTTAATAACATAAGTAGGTTTTCTCTGGTGGTAAGAATTTAGGGGATCCTCATTTTAAAATTCTTTTATAAAATGTCTGAAGTTTTTCTTTCAAATTAACTTGAAACTAGGTTCAGATTTTTCTATTCCTTAGGATATTTTCTTCCTTGATTTGTATAATTATGGTTGCTCTTCCATCTGTCTTTTTTTCTCCAGGGGAAATTGATCACTCACGTGTTAGGTGTCCAGGATTTAGAAGATAAATCTCTCATCTTTTCCTTTCATGCATTTCTAGCCCACTGAATTAATGTTCTGCTGTTTCAGTGATTTCTTTCATTTGATTTTTGGGTCACTAATTTGGGTCTTACCAGTGACTACCTTTAGCTTCAAACTTATCTACTAATTTGTTAAGTTAAAATATCTTTAGTTTGGCCCTCCCTGGTGGTGCAGTGGGTTAAAGCACAGCACTGAGAATCTAAAGCCACTTCCGCATGAGTTCGATTCCCGCCTGCCCCGGAGGTGACCACATGGCGTGGCAGACCTCTCCTGACCCGCCCGCTGCCCCCCTCAGCAGTGTACTTCGTCGATCTGCCTGTTCTACTCCCCAGTCTGTCTCTGGTGAAGCCTCTCACCGCCCCGAGCCTCTGGCCTGTACCCCAGTTCTGTATGCACAAATAAATAAATCTTAAAAAAAAAAAAATATCTTTAGTTCTAGGAAGCCCTTAGTGTGTGTGTGTGCGTGTGTGCAGGTACACATGCATAATACATATGAATATAAGTCACCTTATTACCTGTTTTTGCTGAGCCTCGGTAGAGATTTGTTATGAATATTTTATGTTTTCCTCCTCAGGGTTTAATGACTCCTTTAGGCTCTTGATTCACTTGGGTTTCTTGTCACTTAGTCTGCTTTGCAGTAAACATTGAGTTTCTGAGTATCTTTCTGAAGCAGTTATGAAGGGACTGCTGTTTTGTGTGTGGGTTGATGAAAAACAAAGGCAGACTTTCCCTGGTCCCTCAGTTCCAAGAATACAGGAG